GCCTTGCCCCGGAATAAGTATCTAGTGGCCACATTTCCTTTAAACCACTTGTCAACTGGGGCATAGCTGAAGGGGGCTACAACAGGGTTCTCCATACCCTGGGAGGGTTCAAAATGAGGTCCTCCCAAATGTGCCCCTCCTGTTCCCCCCCCACAACGCCCCCCCAAACGAACTCCTCCTAGGGAACACACTGATCACATAAGGGGGTAAAAAACAATCACAGCATCCTTTTACCACGGGGATAAACCCCTTTCCCCAATGACCCCAAAAATTTTCACAAAGTAAAAAAAGGTTTTTAGTTATGGGTCAGCACCGCCCTTTCACCCTGTCACAGTAAAAGGGAAAAGTATTCCCCGGGAAAACCCGGGCAAATGTACAGAAACAGTTTCACACTGATAACCCGGCCCCAGCATTGCCCCCAAATCAGGGGCCATCAGCCACCAGTGCCCATCATTGCGGCATATAATCAGTGCTTCCCATCAATGCCCACCAGTCCAACCTCATAAATTGCACCCCTCATCACCAAAACATCATTGAACGAAAAAATTACCTGTTTGCAAAATGTTAAAAAAAAAAACAAAGAAAAACGTTTTTTTTTTTTACTCAGCTAAACTTGAGGCCCTCATTTACCATGGCTGCAAAGTACAACATATTTGGCTGCAACATGTGTACCACCCCCTCCAGTCCACCATGTTAGGTTAGGGGGGAGAGTGGGGGGTGTCACAAAAATGAGGCTCAACAATTGCTATTGTTACCATCCTGCTGCTGCCAGTTTACAGAAGGTCACAGAGTTCTCTGTCTGGAGTAGAGATGCTGTTGCAGTACTACATCCGAGCAGTAGGTGGCAGTATAAGACTTCTCTGTAATCAGCTGGGGTGATGCAGCATTCCGCTGTTATGTGACGTCATGCCGATTCCTGGAAATCACTTGTCTGTCATTACAAAAGATTGTCCAGCAGGTGGCGCTGTGTGTACACAAAGTAGAGGAAAGTTACCTATTACATGAAGAAGCGAGAATACAAATAGTCAGCTGTCTGTGTATATTGTGGGAGAGCTCTGTGTATATGTGTGGGAGAGCTCTGTGTATGGGTGGGAGAGCTCTGTGTATGTGTGTGTGGTTCTGTTTATATGTGTGCGGGAGAGCTCTGTGTATATGTGTGGAGAGCTCTGTGTAATACGTGCGGGGAGCTCTGTATAATTGTGTACATGTGTATGGGTTGGAGCACTCTGTATATTGTGTACGGTGTCTGTGTACATTGTGTCAGTGTGGAGAGCTCTGTGTATTATATTTATTTTCCCCGGAATCCTTCCTATGAGCGGGAAGTCCAGTCCGCTATTATATATTTTATATGAAAAGTCTTGCGGCTGCAAACAATGTATCCATTTGTATCGGAATAAACACATTATGTTGGTTTGTAGGAAGGATTCCGGGGGAAAAATAAAGTGATATATATACATACATGTGTGTGCATTCACTAGGGACTGTCATTCCATTTCTAGAACTGAGGAAATATCTATATTTTTTTATCGGTAAAACGATTGGCCGATTTGCCCATCATTGCCGGGAAAATCAGCCGATCGGAAAGCCGCAAATTTTACAACATGACCCGATAAAAAAACTGTGCAAAAAAACCCGAAAAACAGCCAACCAATTAACCCACTAACAGTGCAAAAATCGGACGATTTTTTTTTTAGGACGAAATATAGGCCGATTTTCGTCTCCTCTATGGCTGGTAAAAAGCGCCCCAAACACTATACAATCTGATTTGTACAATCCTCTTTAGATCTTCCATCAGATCTGTAGTGTGGGGTCGGTCTGTCCTGGATACAAAGTGATTGGATGGTTCAGGTGTGTCGTCCTGTTACATCGTCCTGAAAACTATACAGCAGATTGTACAGAGATTATATCGGGTGTGGCCACCTTAAAGACTCCCCATACTCAACGCATTACAATCTCCCCATACAATCTCTGTACAATCATACTATAGATTTTACCAAATGAATGTCATATTGAGGACCTTTCTAAACTATTCAATCAATCTGAGTCCAATCTGGTGGAACCCTTCCACTCTACATAGTCGGTGGAAGAGCTAAAGGAGATTGTACAATCAGATTGTAAAGTGTGGTGAGCTTAAGGAAGATTTTATAGAGATTGTACAGATTGTAAGATGTATGGCTGGTTTTATACCGTCTCAGATACGGCTTTGAAGCCACATATGGGAGGATCTGATATTTTTTGTAAATTAACAATCAGATAATTGAAGCGTATCTCCACCTAAAACGGTTTTATATTGCAGATAACAATTTCTTAGATGTGGACGGCAGCTTTAGTATTTTCTGGTTTTTAGGATTCTCACCTCGTAATCTGCCCGGCAACACACTTCGTGCCTTAAGATGAACTATCATACACGATACAATCTGATTGTACACATCTCCTTTAGATCTACCAACAAGTATAACAAATAAAATCCTGTGAAATTCGAGGAAATTGATTAGACTGTAGAGATTTGTCCTCGTATTACATCGTTTTGTTGAATTGGAATGAGATTGTACAATCAGATGGCAGTGTGTATGGTTGCCTCTAACTATGGAGAAGCGATGGAGCCGCCCCTGGACAGCGAGCATTGTCTGGAGAGGGAAGTGTTAGATGAATGAACAGATTAAGGCTGCCTGTATACTAGGACAGGAGTCTCCAAACTGTGGCCCAGGGGCCAGATGTGGCCCTTTGCCTCCTTTATCTGGGCCCTTAGGCATTATTCCCCCCCACTGACACCAACACTGGAACACAGTTACTGCCACTGACACCGACAATGAGGCACTATTCCTTCCACTGACAATGGGGCACTATTCCTCCCACTGATACCAATGATGGGGCACTATTCCTCCCACTCACACCAATGATGGGGCACTATTCCTCCCACTGATACCAATGATGGGGCACTATTCCTCCCACTGACACCAATGATGGGGCACTATTCCTCCCACTGATACCAATGATGGGGCACTATTCCTCCCACTGATACCAATGATGGGGCACTATTCCTCCCACTGATACCAAATGATGGGGCACTCTTCCTCCCACTGACACCAATGATGGGGCACTATTCCTCCCACTGACACCCAATGATGGGGCACTATTCCTCCCACTGACACCAATGATGGGCACTATTCCTCCCACTGACACCAATTATGGGGTACTAATTCCTCCCACGCACACCAATGATGGGGCACTATTCCTCCCACTTGATACCAATGAAGGGACACTATTCCTCCCACTGACACCAATGATGGGGCACTATTCCTCCCACTGATACCAATGATGGGGCACTATTCCTCCCACTGACACCAAGCATGTAGCACTTTTCCTCCCACTGACAATAATGATGGGGCGTTTTTTCTCTCACGTGACACCAATGATAAGGAACTATTCCTCCCACTGACACCAATGATAAGGCAATTTTCCTCACTGACACCAAGGATGGGGTGCTTTTTCTCCCACTGACACCAAGGATGAAGCATTTTTCCTCCCACTGACACCAAGGATGGGACAGTTTTTTCCCTCCCACTGACACCAAGGATGGGACAGTTTTCCTCCCACTGACACCAAGGATGGGACAGTTTTCCTCCCACTGACACCAAGGATGGGACAGTTTTTCTTCCCACTGACACCAAGGATGGGGCATTTTTCCTCCCAATGACACCAAGGATGAGGCACTTTTCCTCCCACTGACACCAAGGCTGAGGCATGTTTCCTCCCACTGACACCAAGAATGGGACTCCCACTGACACTCTGACATGTTCCCCTCACCGCTGGCCACAGGCTGATCCTCCTAAAGTCTGAGGACAGTAAACTGGCCCTTTGTGTAGACAGTTTGGGGCCCGTGTTCTAGGAGATTCTACAATGAAAATGTATACAGAAATTCTCCGTACAATCGATGGTTTGACCAAAATCATTCAGAAGTCGGTAAATTATTATTTTTTTTTGCTTTGACATTCAGTTTTGGAATGAATGGACTTTACTGAATGAAACTCACATCCAGCGTCAGAAATGTGTTCATTCCAGAAAATCTTCCATCCGGCTCTTTCAGATGTTCTTGTCACGGCAGGAGAAACCGAATGTCGATTTGATCCCAGCAATGATGAATCGAACCAAACTCGAATTTCACACCCAAATTCTCCCCCGTGTATGGACAGATTTGTTCTTTAACAGTAAAGTTTATTGAATGACAACAAAGATGACAACCAAATCCCATGTATACAAAACCGATACAAAGGCAGGAAATAGCGAGTAGTGGAGGCAATGATGGCGATTAGACAGACAGATAAAACGGTATCCAGTACACAGCAGCATAGCCTAGAAGACGTCCTCCGCAGAGCACTGGGAGCCACTTATGGACAGTTTTCTCGTATGAGACCAGATTGGACAATTTTGGTTTAATCTGTACAGTTTTCCTCCAAAAATCCAATACAAATACATGACATCACTTCCCGATGTTCTTTCTGTGGTACGAGAATTTCCATAACTAGTAATCTCTTCACTTTCCATATGAGACTAACATGCAAAAAATATAACGGACAATCATTCCTCCAATATTGTCATCGTGTGTATGGGGCTTTTAGGTCACCAATATTTAAGCCCTGGGAGGAGAGCCACCTATTGAGGAAATATGGGGATCATCCACCAAAGGTGAGAGAGGGAAAAGGGGGGAGGGGCAAAGAAGGGAAGACAGTTGTGGCCTGAATGGACTGACCCCAGAGATATAGTAACAACATAAAGCGTCGGGCCCCCAGCTTTGATCCCCGCCCCCCATATTTGCAGAAGGTTTTAGGTCAGAAGAGTCCGTTTATACAAAGACAACCCCGGAGTGACAAGAGAGGCCACTGCTATATCGTAGGCGGAGCCGGCAACTTCCAATGATGAAGAATCCATTTCCTGCATAATACAAAGCATAGAACGAAATCCATCATTGGGCTCGGTGCACACTAGGCAGCACGCTGCAGGCTGGTTGAGGGTGTGCAAATCCATGCGATTCCCAAACTTGCACCCACCCGCAGCTGCATCACATTTCTCTTGTGAGACGGGCGGGATTGCCATTCATTCTGATGTCACCCCAACACATCTCATCCCGCAGCACAATCGCAGGTGTGGGAACCGCAGGGAAACTGCATGGACAAAGGGAATGGTGGGATTCCCTGCGGATACATTTGGGAACAGGTACATGCAGCTTTTTCTTTGTGGCTCATGTGGCACAGCAGTCCGTTCAGAGGAATAGGCTGCCAGTCCTGAGCACACGTGGTCCGCGTGGCCCTGCACTAGTGTGAACCCCGGGGTTATGATGGGTTGTATTCAATGCATCACAGACACCCAGTAGAAGTCGCGGCTCCATAGGCACCAGAGCCCTGAACTCGCTCCATAGACGCCTATTCGTCCATGCACACATCGACTTTTATCCGGATTATCAGCAGCAGAGTTTAGGGCCAGTAAAGCGTCCCTCTCCGGAGCGCAGAAGAATCGTGTTCAGGAAAGGAACATTTTGGTGAAGAAAATGCTAAATGCGGCAAAAACAAAGTCTAAGCGCCGACCACGTTTAGCGTTTGGGCGTTTATTCATTTCAATGGCGAGTTCTCTGACCGATGAAATGACTGAACGTCCGAGCGCTAAACACACATCACGCATCTCAATTACCGCATTTACACGCGTTTTGCCGCATTTCGTGTTTTTCCTCCACCAGCAGAAAAGCGTTCCGGTGTACATGGAGCCTTATAGACGGATTTCTTCTACTCGGGATAAAAGTTTTCCATGAATGAATAAATGCTGACCAATTGTAAGCACCCCTGTCAGTGGGAAATGGATGGGGGAATCTGGGAACATGCTGGGAATGGTCCTCTCTGAGATGATTGGGGATTCCCCGGCATTGTCCTGAGTGTGTCTGTAATGTCAGTGGGGGGGCATTAGATTGTAACTCCTTCTCTGGGGGTGGAATGGTGCGGAGGGATCTCTGTAGATACAATAAGTAGAGATCCTCCTGTGATAGGTCTCCGGGGTTTCCTGTGGATCCCTCCCATGCCCGGTATCAGGAGGTGATTGGGGGGATTTGCACATTCACAATCTTTGGATTCCGTGGAATCCTATTGGTTGGATGTCTCCCAGATTTCACTTTCATTTTGCGGCTTCTCCTCGCCAACCTTCTCAAGCTGTCACTCTGCCCGGTAACTGCTGACCCTCCATCTCCTGATTTTCCTATTGGGTAGAGAGGAAGCCTCCTCCAATCAGCACAGAGCTCCGCCCTCCTGTACACAGACTGTCCCTGAGCTGGGGGAAGTGGACGGTGAGGTGTTTTGGGGTCTCTATAAGATGACAGCGGGGAGGATGAAGATGGTGACCCCCCTCATCCTGATGGATTGTGGGGGTGTCAGGGTGCAGTGTGGTAAGTAGAGGACAATATAGATGCCATGTGTTGTCAGTGGGGGGGGATTTCCTCCAAGTGTTGTATAGAAATGGTAGAAATCAATGTGTAGTGATAAAGGTAGAAGTATTGTGGAAGTGACAGCCATGTCCTGTCTGTGTGAAGATGACAAATACGGCTCTCCAGGCTCTGAAGGCTGCTCCTGGATCGTGTGTACGGAGCGGGGGATGGGCGGAGAGGTCAGGGCTCACCAGACTACATCACAGTGTATCCGCTGACAATACATTTCACCTTCTCACTGCTCACACCTATTTCCTGTTCTAAGATGTGATCCTGAGGGGGCGCTGTGTTCATTCTCCTCTGTCACATGGACATATAACTGGGGGGGGGACTTGTATTTCAGATTTGGATGGAGTTGGTGAGGGTCAAGATCCTCTGGATGGATTGTATTGCTGTCTGTGACCCCGTTAGGGAGACTCAACACCCCCCCCCCCCCATGTGTGCTGATCACCAAATCACAGGATGAATAGTGAGGACACAACCAACATGATGTGTTGTCACTACAACAGGAAGAATGGGGACATTTGTTTCTGTGACAACTAGGAGGGGATTTCTTCTCACTTCCTGTTGAGGTCTATAGAACAGGAAAGTGAAGGAAAATCTCCCATAGTGAGACCAGATGGCAGAATACAGAGGTTGTTCCCTCCCCTACTTTATTCCACAATAACAAACATTCAGCTTTAGATCTTCCTTTACCCCCCCGGTCACATCGGTGCGATTTGGCATGAGATTTGTGTGTCATGCGACTTGTAAATCGTATGCCAAGTCGCCCCCTATTGTCCGCTAATCAGAGCGATCATTATATTCGGCGCGGTTCTGACTTGGTCGCAGCCGCAGCGATTTTCTACAGTAATGCATTGCACTGCATTATGGTGCGATTTACATAGATACCTGTATTCAGATGTCTTACAAATCGCACCTGAAATCGGCGGGTCCCCCGACTTTACTTCCCTGTAAGTCGCAGGATTTCAGAGTCGGGGTTTTTTGATGTGAGCGGAGGATGAGGGCCGGTTTCACACCGCCGAGATTTGGGAATTGGAATCGGATCTAATGAATGTGAATGTGAGTGTCTGAACATACGCCATTTGCTGCAGCGCCATTTCCAAAGCCGTTCTTCTATGACTTTTCCTGCAGTTTGTTGCGATTTCACATACATAGACGACAAAAAATAGAAATCGCACGCAAAACGCAAGTGTGTGGAAATATGCGCAATTTGTGATCATTTTATTAACCCTTTCCTAGTTGTTTCCGGCTGTCTCTGCCTGTCAAGCCTGACCCATCACATTGTTCCTCCCTGAGACTAGTACAGCCCCCCCCCCCCCCCCCCCCACCACATCCCCTCTGATGTCCCCTCTGACAAGTAGCAGGACATGGAAAATGCAAGAAATCACCCCAGAAAACACAATGGAAGACGCAAGAAATTGTTGGGAAATCTTCACAAGTTTGCAAACAAATCTTCAGAAAACGCAATAAAATTGCAAACAAAACGTGCAATTTTTTAAATCGCATCCGGTGTGAACCAAACCTAAACCCGACTCTAGGAAAAATGTTTTCAGTTTCGGATAGATTGGGGAAGTGTTAGGACCTCTGTCTGCATTGTAATTGGTGTCTGTCCTGCCATGAGAGATCTTCCCCTCACTCACTTCCTGTCCAGATGATGGGTGTCACACAAGAGCAGGAAAGAGGACATGGGGGACACAGACAAGGTTCACTACTTCTCTACAGGAACAATTCTTTATCACACGTGTTAATATCAGCATTTATTGCTAGAAAATTACTAAAACCCAAATTATTGTATATTTTCTGAAAGCAGAGACCCTGTAGAATAAAATGGTTGCAGTTACAAAATTGTTTATCAAAGTCGTAATTTCAGGAAAGAATACACTGTAGTTGACATTTGGGAGGCAAACACATAGCAGAGATTTTGGTAAAATAAAATAGTTTAGTGTTTATGGGGTGATGGGGAGTGACAGCGCCTGCAGAGTCCTTTATAAGTGATTGTGTGGTTCTGGAGCTGCCGGATCACATTGTACCCCTACTCATTCACCAATA